AAATAAAAACGTTTTGAAAACCTCCTCAAGTATAAAATAAGCCAGTTACATACCTCGAACATCGGCAATCAGCCTATACATGTATAGGCTGATTGCCTGCGTTCTCGGTATGTAACTCTAACTTATTCGATTCTTGGTCGWTTCAACATTACATTATTGAAATCAAATTTGAATTCAAACTTCGAAATTTGATTGGATTATTGATCGGATTTTCATAAMRCCTTCTCCGTATTTCGCTTGTAAACATGCTGGTCTTTTGTAATTTCCACAGGTCGATGCATTGCAATATGCTGTCTGTTAATTTGGTTGGATCTGATCCTTCTCGTGAGAAAGGAATGACGGTCTCAAAAAGCTGGAAATGCTGTGTTGTTTTCTGTCATTATCAGAGTTCGAGATTTGAATTTAATTTTGCATTAATAAACTGAAGTTTGAAAACGAAAAATATATCCAATAATGCACAGTTTGAATAACGAACTATTCGGGAGGGGGGGGGGGGTGGGGGCTTCATGTCTTTTGACTGTAATTCACTAGAAACGATTACTGCCTATCATTACTGCCTTTCAGCTCGTAGTTCTCTTCGCGGTTTGATATCATTATTCGTTCCATTTATGCGATAGCGGAAACATTGCTTTTTTTCTCTCTCCATTAGAGAATACCGTCTCTTTATAATACCCTGATAATTTGTATAGTTTAATTTTGCCAGATTAATCATCGTTATGGTGACTGGCAAGTATATGATTATTCTTTCTATACAAAGGTATACCTCCATCTTTCCAATGGTTCACTGCATCCATAGTTAATACTAACTATGCTGCATCTGAGGTCAAAATAAGAATAGGAATTGACTTTTACTGCGTTCCGAAGGCTCACAAAGTCGACTGTAATGCACTAGTGAATTGAAACCCCCGACCCCCAGGAAATAAGACATGACTCATCTCCCAGTAATGCGGAAGGTCTTGTAATTAATTCGTGTTTGCAAATAGGATCACTAATAAAGATCCCTGGAACTTGAGTGTCAATCGGCAAATATAACTTGGATGTAAAATCAAGAGACGTCTTTTTTAACAGTTTTTGGTCATTGTTATTCTTAGAYAAGTATACCGAAAGAAGGTAATCAGAGCCAACGATGGACTCGAAGGAAAAAGAGATTAAAGGTAGACTAAGATAGTTTAATATACAAAACTATAGTATACATGTAGTTTGTGTTGGAGCGATCGATAACCATTTTGCACAACCAAATCATTTACTCTTTTTTATTTACCACTTTTTGTGTAATGAAAATGAATAGTTGTTCTTAGTTCGCAAAAACTGAGTATACAAAATAAGCTAAACCTCTTTTTATCGAGCACATTTACRAAGCAGTTCTCTTTTGTAACTGCTTCAGTGAAAAGATTCTCAAACCGCACTGCAAGACTGACAGCAGCYATTTTTGGTGTTCTGTTGGCTGGTTCAATAGTGCTGTCCCTGTACTTCACAGGGGTGTTTGATAGCTATCCTGATTTACCTGAWGTAATGGAAGGAGAAGCTACATTGTCCTCAAATGGAGGCAAGGAAGAGAACTACCACATCACTGTGGACTATAAGAATAAAATAGTTCAGCTTGCATCCATGGGACCATCTGACTTGCTTGATAAGGCGTTGTTCGGACGGCGTCTCATGTCTTATTCTGAGAATGGCACCATAAATGGAACGAACAGCAATTTGACTAAAATCATTATACAGRATTACAACTCGGTAAGTTGTGATTATTATGTCGGTAAGTTGTTTTTTGAGACTAGTCTGTTTAGATGAAAATTGGTGCATATTCKTCTACCATGGAAAAGTTTCTTGAAATCGTAGTAGATTGTGGTAATAAATGGATGATCTATAAATAATTTTTAAAATATACAAATAGTCATTTCATAGCTGCCCTGTCGAAGACGAAGGCTTATGCAAAGCAAAATATTTGMCTTTAACTGTTACAAGATTCCGTTCTTACATGATTTAATTCTTATATAAATATAAAAGAATACTTTTTCGTTTTAGCTACCGATATACATTTTTTGTTATTTTTTCTCTTTAACAGAACCGGAAGTATTTCATCGTGCCATCAAGACAAAATTCCAMAACAAAATGTATTTACACTGGTCTGGAAGGAGAGATGATTCCACAACATTTACTAAAGCACGCTACTCTAAAATCGGTAATTTTAATACAAATAATAATAATCTCACTAATTAGCGTTCCATTTTATTTCGAGCAATCAAGAATATTTTACATATAGTGCTAAGCATAAATCCAAAATTTAATCAACCATTGTTTACTGACACAAATGCTTTGGACATATTTGTTTACTTGAGTGACCCCACTTGACTTCCAAAAACTTCTCATTGTCTGCTATAATGCTATTCACAGTAATCAGTATTCTCATTTGAGGATGCAATAACTTRATACCAGAGATAAGTTGGATAAAGATTAGAATAACCCGCTTCGSCAATGGCAAGGACAGCAAGGAAACGACGGTGAATAAACTGTATGCATCTGCTATTCAAATATAAGCCAAAACCGGACATGATCAACCGGAAATTGAATGGTTAGGATCAGCGTCCGTCTAAACAAAAAAGGTGGGAGTTTGAGCGATTGATCAAACACCACTATAAACGTAGTCGCGAATGCGTTCACTAAAACGGCTCAAAGATACAAAATAACAACAGCAACAACAACAACAGTTAAGCAAACAAGTAATCTATTAGTTAGCAAGTTCTTAACGATCAGTTTAATAATCAATAATCAGTTTTTTAATATTAGTCTTTTCTTTGTGTTTAATTGTAGGAAAGTTTTGAGGGTAATACAACRCACAGTCATTTTGAAGTTGATAACGACACCGATATTGATGTGTATCGAGCAAAAGGACGAAATGGAAAGATTTATGAAGTAAGATTGTTTTAAGTGAATTTTTCTCTTCTTGTCAAGGCAATCATGAATCACTTGGCGATCTTTAGTTTGTTATGCGGAAATAAGTCCACAACATGGTCTTTTTCTCTTTTACCATTTAACATAGGAAAAGATATTTAGCACRTGAAATAAAGAACACTACTTATTAATAGTATCATTTTTTTAATACTCTGATAATTTGTATAGTTTAAATGTTCCAGATTAATCATCGTAACGGTGACTTACGGTGGCTTAAAAGTGCCATGCTATCTTAAACACCTTTGTTTAAATGTTAAATGTTAAATGTTTTTGCCAAATTATGGAAGTTGGCAAAATGTTTTTGCCAAATTATGGAAGTTGGCAAAATGTTTTTGCCAAATTATGGAAGTTGGCAAATGTTTTTGCCAAATTATCGAAGTTGGCAAATGTTTTTGCCAAATTAGCGAAGTTGGCAATTTTTTTTGCCAAATTAGCGAAGTTGGCAATTTTTTTTGCCAAATTATCGAAGTTGGCAATGTTTTTGCCATTTTTTATGGAATATACCGCTTTTATCGCTTAGAAACATGAATGACAATAACAATAGAAAAGGTCCCGGATATACCACTTTGAAGCATGTTGAAAGAAAGTCGTCGGTAATTTTAGACATGGTCTTCCACAGGAAGCCCATGTAAAAAGCAAAATTGTTATGAAATGTCAACAGACTTACATGAAGATGAACTAAACTTGAGATTTGTTGAAATAAGGAAAAAATACAGAACTATAGTTTCAATCATTCATTGATCAAATGGGCTCTCGAAGCATGTCAATGGCATCACCATTTGCAATAACTGCATAAACTTTCTGTTTCTAAAATTTTTTGTTCGATGTTTATAGATGAGTGCATTYAATTCTCACAACACATTGCTACTGAAAAACAACTTCATTTTCAAACTGCAATAACAATATAAATGYATATCAAGAATCTAATGAGCATTTGCGCTGCCCTACAATTGCATAATTTTTAATGGAACCCACATCCCAGTAAAGTGATAGGAATTGTTTCTAAACCCAGCAATGATCTATGACCCAAAATTGAACTGACGTCTTTGCCAGTCTTTAGCAGTGATAAASTGCTAGTAAATAAAACATCAGTTCTATATATCTGATACATGTATACAAATTTCTGATAKAGAACTGATGAATAAAACATCAGTTCTATATATYTTATATAAAACTGACTAATTAAATGTTAGCTTTTATCTGGATTTAAATGGTCCATCATGTGACCCAATGACATGGTCCAACCCTCATTAGACTAACTACTCATGAATTATTATTGAGCTTAGTGTTCTCATTCCACTAGCCCGACTTCACGCTCCATAGAGCGTCTAGTTTGGCAAAAGAATTGCCAACTTCGCTAATTTGGCAAAAACATTTGCCAACTTCGCTAATTTGGCAAAAACATTTGCCAACTTCGCTAATTTGGCAAAAACATTTGCCAACTTCCATAATTTAGCACAAAAAAGTTGTTTAAGATAGCATGGCACTTTTAAGCCACCGTAGTGACTGGCAAGTTAGTGATTATTCTTTCTGTACAAAGGTTTACCTCCATCTTCCCAATGGTTCATTGCATCTGAGATCAAAAGAACAGGAAATGAATTTCACGGCGTTCCGAAGGCTCAACTGCTATCGATACTATGAGGAGAACAACACGATAGAGGAATCATTTTACAATTCAACAGATGAACAATTTTGTAAGTCATGGGGCACAAGAAAGTGTTAGATACAGAACGAGACTAGAKTAATGATTCATAAGAATTAAAGTGATTTTAATTACAAATAGGCAATAGTTTTGAATACTTTGTGAGCTGGTCCTATAAATACCTTGAATTGTTAAATATTCCTTCATTTCAGTGAATTCTAATGAAAAAACTGGACTTCAAAAAGTTTGGAGCAAACGTTTTGTTGCGGAACATTTGTTTTTTTGCTTGAAATCGTTATTAAAAAGACGAGGGACTACTAGAGTCTCAGCATGTTGCGGGAGCATGTTGCAGCGGAGCAAGCTCCATCGTATTTTCTTAAAACGATGATGTCAAGCCTTCATTAGATATGGGCGAACTTTGAACCGGTTACACAAAAATATTATTATTACACAAAAAGACTATCTCGTAAAGTTGGCAAAGCAATCTCTACATTGCCTATGTTGAATTTAATGTCATGAATTTTTAAATAAATATCAATGGGTCGACCAATCAAGGGGACCAGCATGGGTGAGGAGCTAGAGAAGAAGGAGAAAGAGGAGGTGTTTTTCCTTTGACTGTAGGTTATTTATAATTGTATTTTATCATTTCAGATGTACAGCCCGATCTCATTTCATCAATGATAAACGAAACACTGAAAGATTCCATTTTAAACGTAACAGAAACAGCCAATGGTACAGCACTTAGTGCAAGTGATTTGACAGAAGGTCTTCATTCTGTTCATCATCGCCGTCGTCGTGGACTAGGGATTCGAAATGGATATTTGGATTGGTGGTATGGAAACTGGTGTGGCCCCAAACAGGGAGGATATACTAGATATCCCAAACGCTCTTGCAATAGATTTTGCCACCAATCTTACAAKTATATAACCCCTGGTTGTCGTTCATGCCTCCCTCCAAAAGATGGATTTGACGGAGCATGTATGGAGCATGACAGGTAGATATTTATTTATMGTGAGTTTATTTATTTATTGTCAGTATTTGTACAGGTAGTCCAATTCAGCGAGTGCAGGTGAAATGAATACCCGTTTTACAAATGATTAAACAATAGGACAATGAAGCATCACAAAAGGAATATTTATATATTAACTCATAGAAAAGTATATAAAGCCGAGGAAAAACTTACGCATTTGCAGCATAAGTATTCTTTCAGTGTTGCAATTGAGGCAATTTATAGTTTGTCATTTCTTTAATTTTCCAGATGTCTGTTGGAAGCTGGTAAAGGTCCATGGTGGTGTCAGCCGCAAGGAAATCGCTGCTCATGTGATTTTCGCTTTGTATGGGATGCTGCTTATTATACCTTTGCGTGCCCAAGTTGGTTATGTCATTCCCATGCACTACAAGCATTCACTGCATTCCRTTTTCTATCATGCTGGTTCCCTATGAGGTTCTGTTTTCCTTGGTTTCGCTTTAGCTGCAATGGATGCAAGATATGCTGCCCAAGCATGCACATTTATTGGCATTGTATTAGATTCAAAATGTGCGCGCCTTTTGGCTCGGGTAAAATACCATTTTGAATGACACATGAGTTCATCGAGGTTGGATTTCATGYATGTTGCTTTTAGTTGATCCATAAAGGCCGTTTGTTAATCCTAAGATTGTGTTTGCATTWCATAAGAATAGCGCTATTTAAGAGGCCTGGAGTGTTTTTAAGACACATAGTTTTTTATTTGTGGCCATAGTCCTCTTGCGTAACCACGGAGTTCGCTTTCATAAACCAAAATACTAGGTCCAGATTTTTTTCTGGCTTAATCAGCAAG